CAAGTTTTTAGATCGATTTTTATATCGTCTTACTACTCGTCGTCCTAATCGGCCTACTCAGCTTTCACAAATGATTACCGCTTTACCTTCTTATCTTGAGAATCTTGCATCTTTGCTCCCTGATTATACAGTTCCTACTTATTCTACAACCCCTGTATCTGTATTCAAATCATTTTTACGATCACAGAAGAATTTAGTTTCTGCCTTTTTATCCACTAAATTCGCCTAACATCTTTCGGACTCTGTGGAATACTACACTGCATTACATGACGAACACTTTTCAAACTCGCTCGGCACCTTTATAGATTCTGCCTTATCAGTTGATAAACGCTCGATTGTTCTTGACCGCGTCTTGGTCATCCTGGACTCTACTCCTACTTTATTAACAGATCCTTCGGATATTAAGCAAGCTGCTATTACTCATTTTCAATCTATTGTTTCTCCCCCGTTGGTCCATTATTCTTCCATCGCTTCATTTCCTGTACGTTGGCAACTAGCTTACACCCCCCTTTCTGACGTGTCTACTTCATTATATGATCCTGTTTTGACACCTATTTCCTTGCAAGAATGGTCTGATGTAATTTCCTCCATGCCTAATAACAAAGCTTCCGGTCCTTCAAAAATTTCTTATGAGATGATAAAGCATTTATCCAGTGAAGCTTTGGACTTTTCTCTTTTACTTGCCAATACCTGTCTTTCTCGTGGTGATATTCCTGCTGACTGGCATGAAGCTGTGGTTTATCCTATTCCTAAACCCATGATTTTGATGCTCAACTCAAGAACACTCGACCTATTACTCTTCTGGAAACAGTTCAAAAATGTGTAGTTAAGGTCGTCACGAATCGTCTCTCTAACATCTTTGCTGATAATAAAGTTCTCCAAGGAGGTAACTTTGCTGGTTTACCTGGTGGTTCTACTGATGTCCCTATCAAAATGCTTGATGCGATTATCCATCAACAAAAACATAACTCCACTGATGATCAAGAACTATGGATTGTTTTTCAAGATATCTCTAAAGCCTTTGATTCTATGGACTTGAATATGCTTAAATTAGCTTTAGTTAGATTACATTTCCCTGCACTTTTAGTGCAATTTATTTTGAACCTTTTCACACGATGAAATAATCGAATTATTACTTGTCATGGTGATACTGCTGCTTATCGTGTATGTGTTGGTATCGATCAAGGCGAAATTATTTCCCCCTTATTTTGGGTTATTTACTTGGACCCTCTCCTTACTGTTTTGAATCGAGAAGCACGAAACCCCTTTATTTTAAAATCTTCAGCTCTTTTGAATTATTCTCCACTTGAATTTGAACAACATTCTTTACCAATTTCACATTTAACGTTTATGGATGATTCTACACTTATTGCTTCTTCTAAGATTGGCATTGATGATCGCCTTTCCATCACTGCTAAATTTTATACCTTAAATAATATTCAAGCCAATTCGGCTAAATATGTCCTTCTTTCATCCTCCTCTCCTTCTTCGCAGATTAATTTTGATCTTTCACCCTCTTCTCTGGTTACTACAACTTCCCTTTATCTCTCCTCATTAACTCTTAATACTTCATTTCAATTTTTAGGAGTTTGGTTCTCTTTGTCTGCTTCGCCTCAATTTGTACTTAAACAATCACGCTCCATGGTTAAAGATATGGCTGCTCTTCTGGGACCAAAAAAGTTGTTAACGCAACATATAGCTTACTTGTACAACGCTGTTCTTCTTCCAAGATTGGAATTTCGTCTTCAAACTACGTTTTTTTCCGAAAGTACTATCCATTCAATTATTGCACCCATATTCTCGGTGTTATGGAAAAAAGCCGGACTTGCTGCGACTACTCCGTTGGCTTTGTCATTCCTTAAACTTCCTTTCTCAATTCAGAATGCTTTTTATCAGTTCCTTTCTTCCCATATCGCATCTTGGCAAAAAATTTTCACTCATCCAGATTTCAAAGACTTTGCCCTTTATGCTATCTCCTATCTTCAAGGATATTTGGGTGCTGAAAGCTGCCCAACAGTTATTAACCTGGAACCATGGACACAAGTTGTTTCTTTGCAGACACATACTTTGTTTAATTCATTGTTGTTTTCTTCGCGTTTGAATATCACGTGGTTCCTCCCTTTCCGACCTCCGAGGCAGGATCTGCAACCAGCATTGTCGCTTCAATCCATTTTACCGCATTTGATTTTTCAGACTGCTTGGAAACTCTGGAAACAATTGAATATTTTTGTACTTGCCCAGTTAGCATCTCCTTGTGGACGTTATCTTATGAATTGGTCTGATCTTCGTTACTTTAGTATCATTGGTCGTAAAGGACGGATCTCTACCTGGTTTAATTTTATTAAAAATAATTTTCTTTCTTCTTCTTCTTCTTCTTTATTGTTACCTTCGTATTTTATTAATTCTTCTTTTACTTTAGCTTCACCTTGTTTATTAGATCATACTGTTAAAGATTATCACTTTTATCCTCAATGGGCTATCAATTTTGATTCTGCTACCCAAACTTTATCCATAGGCCGTGTCTGTATCACCTACAAGAAACAAAACTCTGCTATCATGTCTCATTGGCTCCCGGTATCTTCTTCTGCTGATGAACGATCTTACAATCCTTGTTCTGGTTGTTCCTTTAATATCCCAGCTTTATCCAAGAAATCTGCAATCAAATAACGCTGTAATAGTGAGAAATGCTTTTTTAATGTGATCTTATCAGAAACCGTAGGCTACCCTACCAGAAACGCCAAAGTATTTGCGGCTTACCTTCCCATAACTTTGTTTACTTCATGGAGTTATGCTACTTCTTTGGCCCTTGTTCATTTGACAAACCCGTCTTTACCTACTTCTTCCGTCCTTTCTCCTTCCCTTACGGATAAGATCGAAGATGATGTTTTACCACTTTCTGTACAATGTTTGTACACCGATGGTTCCTACCATATTGCCAAAGACTCTTTACCTTCTTTCATGACTTCTGCCTGGCTTGCTCTTGATGACGATGGATTTATCCTTGAATCTTCATCCTTACAACTTCCTTCATGTTTTCCTTCAGCCGTACGCTCTGAGATTTATGCTGTTGTGTTAGGATTAAACGCTCTTTCCCATGGCTCTTCAATCTCTATTTATACCGATTGTAGTCAGTTAATTTCTTTATGGAAACGCTTTGTTGATGTTCCCTTCTCGCCGAAGTTGCTTCGTGAATACAATCACCTTCTCTGGCTTTCTATTCGACAACTTGTCAAGGACCGTAACCTTAAAGTCGATTTGATTAAAGTCCCTGCTCATTGTGATGACTCCTATAATATACAAGTAGATTCCCTGACCAAAGATGCTCATTCGTCTTTACAACCTACTGTTTCACCGTTGGCATTTTGTTATGCTCCTTGCTTATTAACCTTTAATTCTTTGCCCATTGACATGAATATTCGGCACTTCCTCCGCTTTATAGTGGATGCTCGCGCTCTTTTATCTTTCTGTTCAATGGCACGATTCACTGCTCTTGGCTCCCCTTCACTCTTTGACTGGGCTGGTATACATTTTTGCCTTTCACAAATTAAAGGTTTTGCTTCACATAAGAATGGTCGTCCTGAATTTTGGATCTTTCATCTCAAACTTCTTTTGGACATGCTGCCTACTTTAACTACTCTTCAACAACGCAAACCTTATTTATACTCCCTGGATTGGCTTTGTCCACAATGCAACTCTGCTCCTGAAGATTTAAACCATCTTTGGATTTGTCCTTATATCCTTCCGGAACTCAATCCATGTTTAACACATCGCTCTGAAGTTGTTAAATTCAGAGATTCCTGTCTATCCTCGTTCTTATCTTTGAAACCTTTGGATTCTACTTTCCAAACTGGATTCTCTGCTTTAGATTGTTGGGACTATGAAACTCCTTCTCCATCCTGTCTTTGGCTTACTAGAGGATTGATACCCGCGCATTTGACGACGTTTCTGAAACAATATTTCTCTCTCTCTATTATCTACAAGACTATTTCTCCTCTTTTTAATGACTTCCAGGTCGAATTATATGGTGAAATTTGGCTATGTCGGAATGTTCTTTTCCATGCTTGGGAAGAGACACAGGGTATCTCGGCTGCTTCCGAATTACGTGGCCCATCTTCATTACCTCTTTCTATTAATACTTCTTCACAACCTCACAACTTTTCTCTGGCGGCAGTTTCTCAGGATTCCTGGATTTCTTGGATATCCTCTTTTATAATTCGGGGTGGATCATGGATCTCGCACTTGGATTTTCTGCGCCGCTTAACAGTTCAACCTCTTAGGATTTCTTTCTGGTAACGGACTGGATTTTTGGATGTTGGATAGTTGACTCACACTGGCCTTCGGGTAAAGTTGGGGTATGCGATTCTGTAATAGTTTAGTTTTTCTTTGCTTTAAATTATTTTAAATTTAAATTTAGATTTCTTTACTTGTATGAGTCGTGAAGCTACTCTTTTTATTTTTTATTAGTCTATTTTCTTATTTTTGTAATATTGTTCGATTATAATTTCGAAGTTAAAATATAAATAAAAGATAAAGTCATAAAACTGTTTGCACAGGAAAAGGATAAAACTACCACCAATTGATTCGTCTCAGTGAGACGATTCTAACAAGCTATGATACATCTTTGTACGATTATTAGATGCCAAGTTATTTAATATATGCTTTATATAATTGTGATTATAAACGGTTCTTTTTAATATAAGATTTTTGAGGATAGGTGTGATAGTGACTATAGATAGATTGTGAC